CCTCCGGGACCAGCGGCTCCAGCACCTCCACGACCAGCAGCTCCAGCACCTCCGGCTCCAACGCCTGCAGCACCACCAGCTCCAGCAGCTCCAGTACCTCCAGTACGAGCACCTCCGGGACCAGCGGCTCCAGCACCTCCAGCACCTCCAGGACCAGGGCCTCCAGCGGCAGGCCCCCCAGCTCCAGCACTCTTGTACTGACTAAAGTGCGCGCGCTCAGAGGACGGCAAGTGACTACGCACAGCAAGACGGGTAGCAGCATCGCGTGTGGCCCACTGGGAGCGAACAGCGCTGTCAGCATCGGCAGCAGGGGCAGGAGAGGCGCCAGACGTGAGATCGAACAGTGAGAGGCCGTCTTTCCTATCGCACTGTAGGAAAAGCAGCAGATCATCGACCCAGACCTCAAAGTCAACAGCCCGACCCTCAGCATCAAAGACGAGAACGCTGGGGGTAGCCATGACAGCAGTAGCAGCACGCTAGGGGCAGTAGCAGCAGTGGCAGCAGTGCGGCGACACTCTTACCAGGGCAGAGAGCCGCAAGTGGTGGGGCAGGGCCGAGGCGCACCGGCAGGGACGGGCCTAGGCGCGCAGGTAGGGCCGAGGCGCACCAGCAGAGGAGGGCCGAGGCGCGCCGGTAGGGCCGAGGCGCACCGGCGGGTGCAGTCAGTGGCGGCAGCAGCTGCGGCCCCGAGGGAGGTGGTGGCGGCTGCTGCTGGCGACGGCGGCGGCGGCTGCTGCAGGGACGGCGGCGGCCGCTGCTGCAGGGACGGCGGCGGCCGCTGCTGCAGGGACGGCGGCGGCCGCTGCTGCAGGGACGGCGGCGGCCGCTGCTGCAGGGACGGCGGCGGCCGCTGCTGCAGGGACGGCGGCGGCCGCTGCTGCAGGGACGGCGGCGGCCGCTGCTGCAGGGACGGCGGCGGCCGCTGGCCGCTGCAGGGGCGGCGACGGCGGGCCGGAAGGGCGGCGACAGGGCCGCGAGAGGCCGCGAAGGGCGGCAAAGGGGCCGTGAAGGGCGGCGCGAGGAGCCGCGGAGGGTGGCGACGGGCCGTGAAGGGCGGCACGAGGGGCCGCGGAGGGCGGCGACGGGCCGTGAAGGGCGGCGCGAGGGGCCGCGGAGGGAGGCGACGGGCCGTAGGGGGTCGTAAGGGGCCGCTAAGGGCGGCGCGAGGGGTCGTAAGGGGCCGCGGGAGGGGCCGTAAGAGGCGTAAGGGGCCGCGCGAGGGGCCGTAAGGGACGGCGCGAGGGGCCGTAAGGGGCCGCTAAGGGCGGCGCGAGGGGCCGACGGGCGGCGCGAGGGGCCGTAAGGGGCCGTAAGGGCGGCGCGAGGGGCCGTAAGGGTGGCGCGAGGGGCCGTAAGGGCGGCGCGAGGGGCCGTGAGAGGGGCCGCTAAGGGCGACGCGAAGGGGCCGTGAGGGGCCGTGAGAGGGCGCGACGGTAGGGAGGGCACACGGGGCGCGACTCGGGCAGGAGCGAAGCGCGCTCCGGGCAGGAAAAAAAAAAAAATCGTGGTGGGCCCTAGGAAGCGTTCCCACTAGGGAACCTGCTCGATACCATGATAAGAAACGAGGAATGATTGACTAGTTGGAGGTTGGGTACAAGTACAAACCCTAGAAATATTGTACCCCATATGTGCTACCCCACTATAGCCTACACAGGCTAAGTCATATAAATCTGACAGCCTTGTGTCGGGAGCAGAGACAGGAGCACAAAACGAAGCACATTGCCCTTCGTTACTTTCTTGTGCGAGAGTTGCAGCAGCATGATCAGTTTCGCCTTTCTTATGTGGCCTCACATGCCAACACTGCTGATATCTTCACCAAGGCCCTTGGGTCTCGTGATCATCAGCGTTTCTGCACTGCTCTAGGCCTCGTGCCTACCTTGCCTCACTTGCTTGTCTCTTGACTTTGCCCTGTACTTGTTATATTTATACATGCATGTTTACCCTACTAGGTTGTGATCATTGTACTGCTCTTGTTAGTATAACTTCGCTTGTGGACTGGCCTTGTGGCCGCTTGCTTGTGCTCTGACTATGTGGTGATCTCAAGATCCACCCTGAGATTTACTTTGTTTCTTCTTGTGACTGGACTTGTAACCTTCTTGTCCCCCACTTAGCCTATGGGGGTGTGTCAAATTATAAATATGGTTGTCAGGCTTTAGTGGGACACACAATATGGGGTACACATATTTTAGGGTTTGTACTTGTAGCCACTTCCTTGCTAGTGAACTTCATTCGTGTTTCTTACAGCGTATCCCTGGGTGGTGGCAGGGCCACTGTAGATGGCAGGCGGGAAATGCGCATGCCACGAATCTGTATATCGCGGGGTTGGTGTCAGAAAATTCTAGCGCATGCGCCTCGCGAGTGATTGGTGGCGCGGAAATGTGAAATGGTGGACCGGGTAACATGACCCAGTCGGGTTGTGTTGGTTCCTCAAATCAAGTGGGGTGTAACCGCCTACGCGACGGCAGTGGTTTCGTGGCTGTGCTGTGATTGGTGGCTTCAATTCGGGTGCGTTTGTCGTCAATTGTGTTTCGATTGCCACCAACTGCGAATCGCGCGTGACTCGGGCCAAAAGTTGATGGCATGAGGGAAACCCGCATGCCATCAACAGTGCTAGCTACAGTGGCCCTGCCACCACCCAGGGATACGCCCTTAAATTCTTGACACTTGCCGCCATTGCACATGCCGCCGCTGCACATGCCGCAGTTGCACCCGCCTGCCGCTGCACCTACTGCCTCTGCATGTGTCAGCCATTCTGCCCCTCACATCTCTTGCATCTCTAATTGCAAGGATCGCGCGTACGCATTCCAGGGGAGAGGGGGGGGGGGGAGTTCACAGTGCTGATTCTGCAATTGGATACCATTAAGTTTAAAACAAGATGTGATAAATCATTTGGAGCAGTTCATGGCTTGTAAAATAGGCAACAATTATATTTACATACTTTACTTTCCTTAATGGAAGTGTCCGAAACATGTACTTGCGATTGTAGGAACGGAGAATGCAATAGGAAGGGCATTTCCCGTCAACCTCTTTGGGATTGGTAGACCCTGATTACCCAGCCAGATGCGCGATCAAACGAGAGTGTACATTGCCCAACCTTATTAGGTTGGGACCACGTCAACCTTCGCCATTGGTAGAACTTGATTATCCAGATGCGCGATAAGACGACAGGATGACTCTGGCGTGTCATACACACATATCGATCGAGCGCTTCGTGATTCTGCTGGAATCCAGCCAATCCAGAATCACCAAGGAGTCCCCTCAGGCGATTTTGAGCCAATCAGAATTCTTGACCACACGCAATCCCCAACCTTTCAGCGTCCAGCCAAGCACCAACCTCATCCACCTGCTTTCCATACCCCGTTTCACACCCCACCTCACCGCATCCAACCGCGCATCTCCGTCAGTCACCCCCCTCATCCGCTCCACCCGTTCCAAATTCTCCAGTCTTCAAAGGTTGCTTGTCTGCTCACAGCGACAGAATCATCCCAGGTTCCTACACAACTTTTTAGTTGTACACTTTTCCGCAGTCGACAATGGCCGCCCTCGCCAACGCCGCTGTGCTCCCGTCCACCTTCGTCGGCCAGAGCGCTGAGCTCGCCGCCAAGGTGAACAATGTCGATGCCCGTGTGACGATGAGGAAGACCGCCAAGGCGGCTTCCAGCAGCGCCTTCTACGGCCCCGACCGCAACCTGTTCCTGGGCCCCTTCTCCTCCCCCCCGTCGTACCTCACCGGCGAGTATGCCGGCGACTACGGCTGGGACACCGCGGGTCTGTCCGCTGACCCCGAGACCTTCGCCAAGAACCGTGAGCTGGAGGTACGTCGATTGCTCATTGAATAACGGTTCCATTTTTCCATGTTGCGATTTCAATAATGTTTTCGCGCTCACATTGAATGACGGTGTCTAAACATTCTCCGTTTATTCTCTGCATTCTCGTTATTCCCTTTCAGGTGATCCACGCTCGCTGGGCTCTGCTCGGTGCCCTCGGCTGCCTCACCCCGGAGCTCCTCGCCGGCAACGGCGTGAACTTCGGCGAGGCTGTGTGGTTCAAGGCCGGTGCCCAGATCTTCTCCGAGGGCGGCCTTGACTACCTCGGCAACCCCAGCCTGATCCACGCCCAGTCCATCCTGGCCATCTGGGCTACCCAGGTCATCCTCATGGGTGCCGTCGAGAGCTACCGCGTGGGTGGCCTCGAGGGCTTCCAAGAGGTTGAGGACCCCCTGTACCCCGGCGGTGCCTTCGACCCCCTGGGTCTGGCTGACGACCCCGAGGCCCTCGCTGAGCTGAAGGTGAAGGAGCTCAAGAACGGCCGCCTCGCCATGGTGTCGATGTTCGGCTTCTTCGTCCAGGCCATCGTCACCGGCAAGGGCCCCCTGGAGAACCTGTCCGACCACCTGGCTGACCCCACCGTGAACAACGCGTGGGCCTATGCCACCAACTTCACCCCCGGCGCTTAAATGTGCTGCTGTCTAGTCGTGGTGCTTTGTATCTATACTAGATTTCAGCTGTAAGGCTGTTCATAAGAATTTCAACAAAGAGATTTCAAAACCGCTGCTTCCACGGTATCAAAACGATGGATTTTTTACGCTTCTATGATCGATCCACGGCCAACTGATAACCGTGCGTTTCCTACACTAATCCCTGTCTTCGCACGTGCTTGTCTGAGGTCCCGCAACATGATATCTGGTCCTAAACGGTTACTTGATTAGCACATGCAGCGGCCTCAGTGGTTGTATAGTTCTGCAGGTGTTGCACCAGGTGGTGCAGCGGCCCGTGTTGCAGGTCCTGCACCATGACGCTCTGTCCCTGCCCTTCCAATTCAGTATTTCTCCAGGACCTACACCATGGCTCTTCCAACTCCTGTCCTTCCAAATCAGTGTTCTTGGAAAAAACTTGCTGCAAATCATTGCTTGTATGAGTGCCCGTGCTGCAGGTCCTGCACCATGGCTCTTCCAACTCCTGTACTTCCAAATTAAGTTTTTGGACAACGCTTGCTGCAAGTCAGTGCCTGTCTGCATGCCCGTGCTGCAGGTCCTGCACCATGGCTCTCACAGCCTTGCTGATCTGCTCCAACCGAGTTGCTCCCAGCACCATCTGCACCTCCCCCTCTCCTCCTGCTGCACCCACAGCTGACGTGTCACTTGCTGCGCCTCTTGCTTCGTCCACCAGGCTTTCCGACAGCAGCCGGTGCCTTGCCGCATCCTGCAAGTGGGGTTACAGGCAAAACTCAAATTTGCGCCACCAGACTTTCCAAAAGGAGCCAGTGCCTTGCTGTATCCTGCAAGTTGGGGGACGGGTGAGGGAGCATGATATTAAAGAGTGAGGGAGCAATTGAAGTCATTATTGCACCTCTTGCTTCGTCCACCAGGCTTTCCGACAGCAGCCGGTGCCTTGTTGCGTCCTGCGCGCGGGGAAAGAGATGAAGGAGCATAATATCAGGAGTAGTGTTTTGAGTCGACACAAGTCGTGTATTGGGTCGACTCAGAACATGAGTCCACTCAAAACACGTCCTGCCCGCGGGGAAACAGCTGAAGGAGCATAATATCAGGAGTAGGAAGCAAAGACTGGTACTCTCACGGCTGAGTTCACTTGACAGCAGCTGTGCCTTGCTCCGTCTTGCATGGCAGGGGGACAGGCGAAGGAGCGGTAAAACATGGAACAAAGAAACTCACTCTTGCGCCTCTTGTTTCGTTCCCCAGGCTCTCTGACAGCAACTGGTACCTCGCTGAATCAAGTTAAAAGAAAAGTGAGCCCAGCAAGCACGGCAGTGACATAAGAATCATTCATTCATGCACCTCTTGTGCTCTCTACACCCGCCTTGCTGACAGCACCTCCACCCAGCTTGCTGACAGCCCCCGATGCTTAACAGCATCCTGAGTGGTGGCTATAATAACTTCTCACTACTGCACTCGCTGCTGGGCCATTTTTAGTCAACAAAAATAAAATCCCATGTCTAACTTCTCCCCACTTCTGCTGGCCCGGTCGCAGTGCTCTCACCATCCGCAGTGCTCTCACCATCCGCAGTGCTCTCACCATCCGCAATGCTCTCACCATCCGCAATGCTCTCACCATCCGCAATGCTCTCACCATCCGCAATGCTCTCACCATCCCGCCATGCTCTCACCACGTGCTGCTGAGCAGATTTTTCAGTAGACTGGAAATTTGGCCATGCCTCACAACCCACCACTTGCTGCTGAGCCCGGTCGCAGGCGGCTTGAAAGAGGTCCACTCGGCTCTGAAACACCTCCAGCGCTGATGCTACCGCCACCTCACTGCGTGGCGCACTGGAGCTGCTTATAAAGAGGAAAACGATGGAGGAAACGGGGAAGACAGAATGACCAATGACAAAAGACAGAATGACAGAACGACCAATGACAGAGGGATAAGAAGGGGAATGGAATGGGACTAAAGGGAAGGGCAAAATGTGCGTGAGTGAGAGCAAGCAAAGCGGAGACAAGTGGGAGAGAGAGAGGGAGAGGGAAGTGGTGTGTGTGTGTGTGGGGTGGGGGGGTGTGCGTGGGAGGGAGACGTGTGTGGGGGAGAGGTGTGCGGGAGAGAGGCGTGTGCGGGAGAGGGGTGCGTGTGGTGTGTGCGGGAGAAAGGCATTAATGTGCGTACCTTGAGTACACATCGCCACGAGGAGCCGAGGAAGCAGCCTCCACGAGCAAGGGATAGTTGAGACATCTCAAAAAGAGTGTGTGAGAGAGAAGCATCCATGTGGGAGAGAAGCATCCATGTGGGAGAGAAGCATCCATGTGGGAGAGAAGCATTCATGTGGGAGAGAAGCATCCATGTGCGTACCCTGAGTGCGCGTCACCACGAGGAGCCGATGTCGCAGCCTCCACGAGCAGGGAGGCAGAGGCGAGCACCTCCTGACGGGCGAGAAACGCAGAACCGACATGGGAGGATGGATTTTTGGGAGGATGGGATGGAAGCATGGATGGAGGATGGCAAGGGGAGGAGGAGAAAGGCGATGGGAGACAGCTAACGGTGGGGGCGAGACGAGTGAGTGACGACCAGAACGAGAGGAGAGAGATTGGAAGGGCGAGTGCCGCATTACTGAAAGGGTGGCGGAAGAATGGCGGAAGGGTGGCGGAATAACGGCAGAAGGGTGGGAGAGGGTGGCGGAAGGGTGGCGGAAGGGTGGCGGGGAAAGGAGCGTGCGCCAGCAGTGCATGGATGGAATGGCAAGACGCACATCGAAGGAGAGATGGCAGGGCGCGGAAGGATGCGGAAGGGTGGTGAAGGGTGGCAGGGGAAGGAGCTTGAACCAGCAGAGCATGGATGGAATGGCAGGACGCACATCGAAGGAGCTCTGAAGCCGAGCCGCCATCGCATCCATCGCCTGGCGATCCCTAGGCGGCAGCTCTAAGAAAATCTCAGCCGTCCGTCTCAGCTGTCCTTTATTATCGCAATGGTGAGAATCGGGTGAAGAAGTGGCGCGGAAAGGAGGAGGGCGGGTGAGGGAGGAGGAGAGGTACAGCAGACTCCGAAGTGGAGTGGGGGAGGTGGAGTGGGGGAGGTGGAGGTGGGGGAGGTGGAGTGGGGGAGGTGGAGGTGGGGGAGGTGGAGGTGGGGGAGGTGGAGTAAGGGGAGAGACGAAGTGGAGGTGACACAAGCTCTCTCGAAATCTCGAGACGGATGAATTTAGGCGAAAATGGCGCACGGGACGGAGATGGAGGGGCTGAATGACGGGTGACGAGCGGATGGCATTTCAGGCGATTCAAAAGCACCTCACTGCAATGTCACGTGACGGCGCTTCTTTCAGTCACCTGGTGACGGTATCAGGGATACAAAACGATAGTGGCGAACATGCTGTGGCTGGGGGAAGGAAAACGGATCAAGCGACAGCGAGGCTATGGCGTGGATTACACTCCTCTTACTCTCCTCCTTCCTTCACGTCTGCTTTGCTCGCACGAAGGTACCACTGATTACAGTTTCTGAAGCACCTCGGAAATAGTAGCCGGCGCGCTGTCGCATCAACGTGCGTCGTTGCTGCACAGACCGGGCGAATCCGGAAAAGCAGGCAGTTTCGATCCACCTTTAGAATTAGTGCGATTAGTGCATCTCGCCAATACACTCACCCATCGATTGTGGACACCAAAAATCCCTATCTTCGTGTATATTTCACCAGAGTTCACAAATTGCCGCTACATGGTAGCGCTCTATTTTATTCGTTCTTCAGGAAACAAGTCACATTAGAATCGCAAATTCGTGTATTGCCATCGCAAAAATGAAGAGGTTTGGCTGTTTAGTAGGCCCTACTGTACCGTATTTCAGAATTAATAAAATTCGTCGCGCTAGAGAAAGTACGTAGCAAGGTATGGTCAGACGCAAAGAAAGCACTGGCATTCTACCGTTATAAAAGTATCGAAACAAGTGCCGCTGTGCATCCGGTAGCGCGAACAATTCTTCTTCGTGTGCTGTACAGCAAGGTAGGCAGGAAGCTTTCAGCATCAACCATTCATGCTCAAAGCAATCCAGGCAGCAAAGCAACCTAGCCCAATTTCCCAACTTCCGGCTAGCACCACATAATGCTGCCGCAGTGTACGGAAGGAAGTCGATCTCTTGTAGATGCTGCTGCTTCTTGGCACATCTCAGCTTTATTATAAAGTGTAAGACGAAAACACATAATTTACACGCTAAAGCAGGAACATTGGTCCCAGCCAAAAACAAACGATACCACACTAGGTACCAACTTACAGCCTGGCCACAAACAGAGACAAATCATTTTCCTCTAAAGACTTCAAACCATGGCGGCAACGCCTTGCGACTTGGGCGTCTCCACCTTAAGCTCGTACTTCTGGCCGCGAACCACGGCGTACATCTTGTCGGGCGCGATGTAGTCGCAGGTGCGCTCGATGCGGAAGGGCTGGCCGGGAATCTGGTCGCCCGAGTGGATCTGCACGCCCGTGATCACGGCGTAGTCCGCCGTGGCGGGGTTCACCGTGAGCGAGATGAGCTTCTCAAGATCCTCGTTTATCGCCGCCAACGCCGCGCGCGTCACGTCCACCAGCGACTGGTCTCCGCCCGACACCTGCGAGATGAGATAAGGGTGGGAGATTCAGAAGCGGGAGATGCTTAGTTTCTAGTTTTCGTGGCGAAAAAGTACATCTTGACCTTGATTTCTTGGCTCATCATTAGTGAGAGCTAATGGCAATGACATGAGAAACTGATGTTTTCTTTTTTAACGTTTTCTTACCTTAGCCATGATCTTCTTGCGCAGTAGCGTGTACTCGGGGTCGTCGCTGTCCATGCTGGGCGCCACGCCGTTGTTGATGTCGTTGTTGATGGCGATCAACGCTCCGCATGCGCTCGACGCCTTGCCGCGACCGCGACGCAGCAGCGACCCCACATCGCCCGACTCGCCGATGGACACGTGCGGGAACGCGAAGAAAATGTCTGCAGAGGGGAGGAGGAAGATACGGAATAAGAATACGAGGGTTAATTTAGTGAACAAGATGGGTATGTAGGCAGTGGGAAATTAAGAGAGTTGCAGTTTAAAATAAAGACAATGCCAGTTGAACAGAGGAGAAGCGACGAAGAAGCATTAAATGCTTCGAATGCCACGCGGCAAAGTGGGAAACAAGGTAAATTCGAAAGCTACTCAATTCACACTAGGGTAACCGTGATGAGAACCGAAACTCACATCGCTCCTTGAGGTTGCCGTCGACGTCGCAGGGGAACTCGGGCGAGTGGCTCATGGCGGCTCCGAAGCCGACCTTGCCGCAGTTGACGAGCCCGCCCAGCCCCGAGATGTTGAAGCTCAGCCCGAACTCGCGGTCGATGATGCTCACCACGGGCCGGCACACCTCGTCGCGGCACGTGTTCACCAGCGCGATGCCGTTGTCCTTGCGGAACCCCAGCTTCGCCAGCTCCACCGCCACGGCCTTCAGGAACGCCTCCTCCTGCATCGCCGACGGGAACGTCGTCGCCATCGTCGAGAGAGCGGACGCCGCCGCGTGCTTCGCGCGCGGGACGATGCCGCTGGGCGGGACGCTGGTGACCGCGGGAGAGGAGGGGGCGGGTGCGGCGGGAGCGGCAGCGGGAGACGCGGTGAGCTTCTTCACGGCGACGTAGGTCGCGGCGCCCAGAGCGCCGGCGCCGACGACGGCGGGAATGAGGGCGCTGGTGGCGGGAGCGGCGGGAGCGGCCGTAGATTGGGAGACGCTGGCGAATTGGTTGTCTCCGCTGGCCATGGCGACGATGCTGGTGCGACGGTTACCGCATTTCGCGCAAGGGCAGGAGCTGGACACGGAGGTGCATGTTTGAACCCCGGCAGAGGCGGAGAGGCCCCTGTGTGCCTTGAGGCCGGAGAATGCTGGGATTGCCGCGCGGGAGGAAGTGGCGAGGGTGCTTCCCTCTGGGACTGAGAGGGAGCGAAGGGAGGCGGACGCCGAGGAAGAGAGGGTCGCGGCCATTTCGTCGGAAATTCGTGCGAAGGCCTGGAGACAACAGAAAAGTGTAGTGAGAGGCTTTAGTCTTCGACGGCGACGGAAGCTGGTCGGTACGAGAAATCTGGAAGCTTGTAATTCCTCTATTTTAGAAGCTAGCAATGTTGGAGGGGTGTTTACACAAAGTCAGAATGTTGCACATTGCAAGCCAATCTCGCGCCAACTCGTTTGTCTGGTGAATGCGGGAAAAGATTGCTCAGGGGCGCGATTACGTTTTTCTGAAAGGTGGTCTGAATCTCGCCCAGGATTTTGGACTGGGCTGGGCAGGGCTAGGAGCTTTGAGGCGTCTTGGAAGCAATTTTTGTCTGGGTGCGGTTCGCGCGTGCGCTTGGTGAGTGGTGAGGAGAGCTGACCTGGATCATCCACATGGGTGCATCCAGGTCAGGATGGCAGCCACGTCAGCAAACAGTCGATAAGTCCATGGCTCCAATTTCGCTTCCGAAGCGCACATTGTGACATTCCCTCCCCTACCAGTTTCCTGCTTTTCAGGGTCTTGTGCACTGGGAAGTGGTTGTTCCTATCAACGACGACGAATTGACATGATGGCAGTCACACGCTCGCCCTAATCCTCTTCGATGTTGATGCCAGGCGGGAGATGCAGGAGAACTATCTGATACAAGCAAGCACTCCCCATAAAGAGGACAAAACGCAGGTAAGGAAATTGTTACCATAAACAATTGTCAATTTCCTTACAACCACGTACAATTAACGTAAATTGGCCCTTCGCCCATTACCAGCCTCCAGTGTTCAACGCACTGCGCGCCCGATTTTTCCAAACTACGCACGGCTGTAGAATGCCGACACGGCCTACGCTTCAGGACTAGCCTGAGGAAAGCATGAACATCTCTGGCAATGACAGTGACAGGTCTGCAAGGATTATGACGAACGGCTTTAAACCTAGATACCGTGAAGGTTCCGTGTCAGTAGACTTTAAAGCCGTTGACCCAAATTGCACAAGTTTTAAAAAGTTGACGTGAGGGAGTTTTGGTAGTTTGGGCTTTGGCGAGTGTTTCTGATTTCGTCAAATTCGTTTGTTTTCGCCAAACCCAGCCAGCCCCTCGTTTTTACCCTTGTGGGTGTCTCAGACCTCGAAAGTCCCAAATTGCAGGTGCGCTTCTTTTCAAAGCTTGCACAGCCCACTTCTTCAAGTCTTAAAAGCTTGACCCGCGCGGCCCGCAATTTGGGACACGGGCTTTAAGAACCACATATCCAGATTCCTCGTTACAAGGTGAAACGAGCGATACAATTTTTGTGTCTATACATCAGACATCATATTGCTCTCTACAAGTAATCCGTTTCTCTGTCAGGCAACTAACTCCAAGGTTCCTTTTAGTTTGCTGCTAACTCCAAGGCTTCAGCTTCTTTCCCTTAACATCAGCTACTACAGCAATGATCACACCGCTCATATATCAACTATTGCGGACCAAGATCCCAAGGCTTCGACCTCGGTTTCTCATCACCAGCAACAAGAAAATGGACAAGTGCCTACGCATCTTTGCTATATAACAAGTCTCTGCTCAGAGCAGCGGCATTATTTCAAGCATCAACAACTTGCCTTCAATCAACTCTGCCGTCTCTTACAAATCATTGTACAATTCCTCCTAAGCGTCAGGGCAATCAGATTGCTGATGCTGTTAACACGGACGGTGACGCCGGCAAGTCCATTGATCCTGCTGCACTCGGAGGAAAGCAGCAAGGCAACAACGACAATGGCGACAAGCCAGCATCTGACAATGGAGCTGGCAGCTCATGCCTTTCCCTGGAAATCAAGAAAGTGGCAGTCTCAGTGGCTTCGGTTCCCACCGACGATTTAATTGAGGATGACCCTGAAGAGGAGCTGGAAGTCAACATCCAACAGGAAGTGTTTGCTCGACTTCGTTTTACTATTATCCTGCTCATACCTTACGTTCTATCTGTCAGAATCTAGCAGCAGGAATGATTGAACTATCAAAGAGTTGGGTACAAGTATGAAACCCTAAAAGGGGCTGTACCCCATATTGGCTACCCCACTACAGCCTACACATTTATAGCATGCATATACTTTGACACACCCCCATAGGCAAAGTGGGGGAGAGCAAGGGGTCACAAGACCAGTCAAGAGAAGCAAAGCAAGCTCAGGGTGGATCACAACGTCACCACACATACTGAGCACAAGCAAAGGGCCACAAGGCCAGTTCACATGCAGGGGTATATATGAAAAAAAAACAGCACAGTGATCTCTACCTAGCAGAGCAAGCATGCAGGTATATATAGATCACAGTACAAGCAAAGTCTACAGCAAGTGAGGAAACGTGGGCACAAGGCCTAACAGAGTGCAGAAACGCTGATGATCACCAGACGGAAGCGCCTTGGTGAATATATCAGCAGTGTTGGCCCGAGTGGCCATGTGAGCAAGACGAAGCTGACCACGCTGCTGCAACTCTCGAGCCAGGAAGTAACGCAGAGCGATGTGCTTCGTTCTGTGCTCCAGCCTGTGCTCCTCACACAAGGCAATGGCGGCCTTGTTGTCGACGTACAGAACTGGAGGAGAACGAGGCCGCTCTCCCAAGTCGGTCAGCAGGTAGGTGAGCCAGCGTAACTCCTGTGCAGCCATGGCTGTGGCGTAGATCTCAGCCTCACAACTGGAGCTGAGAACTGAAGACGAGGGTGTAGAACGCCAAGAAACCGAACCAGAGCCAAGGCTGAAGGTGTAACCCTATGACGACCGCTGCGTAGCCTGGTCGTCAACCCAAGAAGCGTCTGAGTGGCCAGTGAGGACAACGTCGCTCCGTCCTCCAAGCACGAGCCCCATGCCCGATGTACTGCACAAGTAGCGTAGTACCCTCTTAGCAGCATCCATGTGCACCTTTCGGTGCCGACCAGGAGCCACGCAGGGAGCCAGAAGGCCAAGAGGGTACGCAAGGTCAGGACGAGTGCAGGTCATCAGGTACATGAGGCAGCCCACTAGCTCTGGGTAAGGACCACTCGGCTCTACGGACTCGTCCGAAGGTGGAGCTGAGAGCGAGTGACCTGTAGCCAGAGGAGTGGCCTGTGCCGAGGACCAGGTGAAGCCGAAGCGCTGAAGGACCTGCTGCACCATGTGTGACTGAGTCAGTGTGATGGTGCGGCGTGCTCTGTCCCGGGTGATCTGCAAGCCAAGGTAACTGCGCAGCTCACCCAGGTCTGTGCACGTGTGTCTCTTCTGCAGCTCCGACTTCACCAGGGCGAGAGCCTCAGTGTCAGCAGTGGCAAAGACCAAGTCGTCGACGTACACGAGGATGTAGAACGGTGGCAGCGAAGTGTCGGTGCGCAGAAACAGCGACGGGTCAGCAGTCGACGGAGCAAACCCAAGAGCCGCAAGTGTCGTCCTCAGTGTGTCGTGCCACTCACGTGGCGCCTGGCGGAGACCGTAGTCCGGCCGCCTGAGGCTCCACTGGGTACCAGGAGGGAACGACCCAGTGAAGCCAGGTGGGCGGCGCAGCCAGATCTCCTCGTGCAGGCTGCCCTGTAAGAAAGCTGTGCTGAAGTCAAGAGAGTGAAGCTCGTAGTCACGCTGAGCGGCAACGTGCAGCAGCACCCGAAGAGTGGTCATCTTCGGGGTGGGGGAGAAGGTCTGGAAGAAGTCTACTCCCTCTCGCTGACTAAAACCTCGTGCAACGTAACGCACCTTGAAGGCAGGCGGAGAACCCGGCGGCCGCTTCACCCTGAAAATCCACATGCCACTGACGATGTTCACCCCAGGTGGGGGAACCTCGTCGACGTAGGTGCCTGTGGACTTCCAGGATGCCATCTCTGCGTCCATGGCTGTCTGCCACTGAGAGGAGTACTCACCCGCGATCGCCTCAGCGTAAGAGCGCGGGGTCGGGATGTCTGGAGCATCCGGGTCTCCCTCAGGGGCAAGCAGCATGGACACGAGATGAGGCGCAGCGGCTGCAAGACACTCAAGGTCCTCCTGCCTGTCCTCAAGGACGTCCGTGCCAAGAGCACACTCACCCCCGACGGACGGAGGACAGACAGACTCAGACTCAGCAACAAGACTAGCGGCGTAGTCTAGACGACACGCAGCAGCAAAGTCCACAAGCTCAGCAACTAAGGCAGACGTAGCAGCAGACTCAAACGACGGGTCAGTGACAACAGTGGCTAGCAGACGCGTGACAGTAGGGTGCTCAGCACGAAACCGGTCAGACTCGGGGTCCGCAACGACAGGCAGAGAAGACGCAGGAGGGGACGGCAGAGGAACACGCTGCGGAGGAGAGGAAGGACGACGGACTACGAGGTGGGTGTCGAGGACAGCCGGCAGACGCGGACGAGGAACACGACGACCGGAACGACCATAACAGACAGGCGAGACAGGACGCGACGCAGGCTCACGACGCTCAGTAAGACCCCATAGCTGCTCAGTGTAAGGAGAAGGAGCAGGCAGCGGTGAGCCAGGCTGTAACGGAAGACCAGTAGACGAAGGGAGACTAAGAACCTGGCAAAGCACAGAGTCAGGCGGTGGCTGAGACGACGGAGACGGTGGAGCGAAGAACAGGCGCGGCTGTGCAGTGACACCAGCACCAGCAGCTCCAGTACCCCCAGCAGCTCCAGCACCTCCAGCAGCTCCAGAACCTCCAGTGCCAGCACCCTCAGCAGCTCCAGAACCTCCAGCTCCAGCACCCTCAACAGCTCCAGAACCTCCAGCTCCAGCGCCACCAGCGCCAGCACCTCCAGCAGCTCCAGAACCCTCAGCGCCAGCTCCTCCAGGACCAGCTCCACCAACAGCAGCACCCCCAGAACCGGCACCTCCAGTCCCAGGGTCTCCAGCCTCAGTGCCTCCAGCAGCAGCACCCTCAGGCTCAGCACCTCCAGCCCCAGCAGCTCCAGTACCTCCAGTACGAGCACCTCTGGGACCAGCACCACTCCCAGCTCCAGTGACGTCAGCAGAAGTACCTCCAGCGGCAGAGCCCCGAGCTCCAGAAGCGCGACCCTGACGGCGACCGTACAAG